CTTTGCCGAACCTCGTTAAATCTCTGTGTTCTTCTGAATTTGTGTCGATTACTGTTTTCTTCGCCCTAATTTTCTCAACAGTTTGAAATGAATGATTGATGTATTCTCCCACTCTTGGTACGGAGAATTTTTATGTTGGTTTGGAATTGTTTTTCAAGTAGAGTTCTTAAGTTTGTGAAATGGTAGAGACCTTACCCACAAAGAAAAAAGTTCTTAGGTATATATAAATGCTTGTTTTTTTCTGGAGAAGGCCGAGAAAGCTGATGAGTACAGGTGGTCGAGCCTGTGGTGCCAGAAATTAGAAGTTGTGGTGGCTGCCATGGCTGATGGTTGTTGGGTTGAAGTAGATTTGTGGAGATGGTAGAGACCGTTGCGCATGGACCCTCCAAGATAATTTGATTGGTCTTCCGGTCCTTAATTTGAAAATCATATTTATCAAAGGATATGAAACAGTTATTCTCAGAAGCAAGTTTGAATATGGAGTGTAAGTTACGGTATATAGCAGGGAGCATAGAGAATGTTTGATGATGTGAGCTTAGGTTATGAGTTGGAAGGAATCCTGAGCCCGTGTTGGCGATGGGGAGAGAGGTGTCGTTGCCTACAAGCAGTTGATCAGGACCATTATAGGCATTGGGCTGCTGGATGTTGTTGATGTTGGAGGTGACATTGGCTGTTGCTCCATAATCCAGGTACCAATCCTGGGAATTTGATGAAGGAGCTGTTAGGAAAGCCTTCCGTGGAGTAGTAGAAGTCTGCTGGTAGTTTAGATTGGTGTGATGCTAACAATTGAAGGCAGAGTGTCCTTGTTTGCTGCAGATCTGGCAAATTGTGGGTGTATGACGTTTCCCTTTGTATAGCTGCTACTGGTAGCTGATTCCCTTAGGATTGAGAAGTTAGTTCCCTCCTTATTGCTTGGAGTAAGAGATTGGCAGAATTCTTTTATAGCAGTGAGAGAGAATTGGTTTGTTGCTTGTTGTCCCCGAAAAATTTCTGAGAGGTGTATCTCTTCACTACATAAAAGAGATTAGAGATCATCCAAATTTAAGGATGCAATTTGGTGCGGATTGCCGTTTTGAATGCCTGATAATTGGCTGGTAAGCTGCTGAGGATGTAAAGTATATGATGTCCTCTTCATTGATGGAGCCTCCATCTGCTTAAATGTTGTCGACCAAGAACTTGATATCGGAGAGGTATTGGGTCATACTTCTGTGTGGCATTGTGATGTGATGCAGTTGGTTGTTGAGTTGTATCACACAGGATATGTTGGAAGCTTGAAGGTGTCTTTCAATGGTAAGCCAGATAGCTGCGCAGGTGGGAAAGTTGAGAACGCAAGGTAATATGGAGGCTGAGAGTATTGAGTAGAGGGTAGCAGCCAGATTATGATCCATGAGCATCCAGGTATTGTATAGTGGTTTTGGATGGAAGCCACCTGCATCATCTGTGCTAGTATTGCTGGGACAAGTGCTTGTTCCAATGAGCCGTTTGTGGGAAAGAGCTTCAGGATCTGAGCACTCCATGTC